CACTTTGCATCATTGATGCCTATTTAGTTAAATAAATATTTTTTTTTTGTTTCGAATTATATTTAAATATACATACATCAATAATTTTACATAAAGCTCGCATAGCTGGTCCACGATGAGAATCTTCTTTTTCAGTCATATCACGAGTTAAACTTGATGTTACAATAATAACATCATTTGCAACTGTTGACATTTCTTTTATTGATAAATAAATCATATGACGAAGCATCATCTTATTATATAAATAAATAAATAGTGATCAATTTCATTGTTTTTAGAAAATCCGAAATGAAATTAAAAAGAGATCGATTAGTATGATATAGAGATAAACGAGGCAATTCATCAAGATAACGATTAATAATTATTTCGATCTGTTTTATAGCAAAATTTTTCATAAAACTCTAATTAAAAATAAAATGATTCTTCTCAATCCAATATAGAGATGTATATTGTAGAACTTGAACGATATCGTTGGATATGTTGTTTATATTTTACAAACTAATTCCTTAAATTGCTTAACAAATATATGTGTGTAACATGATCAAGTTGTCTAATATGAAAGTTCTCAAAAAAAAAAATATATCGTTCGATTTTCACCTAAAACTGTCGAAATAAAAGAAAATTTGATCATATTATATTATAATAATAAGGTCGAAGAATTTTCTATGAAATCGTGTTGAAATATATCGAACAGAAATAATGATCATATGAAGATGCTGTGAAATGCATCTTTATTCTGAAGAGGATTAAATTAATGTATGATCAATGAATTTCTAAAAGGATTATCTGTAGTTATGTTGCGATTTAAATTATTTCTAGTCGCTCTACTACGTTTATTGTTAGGATAACCTTTAGAAAAAAAATTCAATAATCTCCAAAAAGAAATAATCTAGATCTTTTTTTAAATAAACTTACATCTTTTGATTGAAATAATTTTGTCATAGCAAAAAATGTTTCTGTTGCTTCCGTTTGACCTAATTATTCTCCCTTAAAATAAAAATATTTAAATTTGTTTATTTCAAAAATAATTAAAAAAAAATAATCTAAATAATAACGAACAAATTTCCCCAAAAATGATTCAGTTTTCACCATTAACAAAAAAAAAAACGGAAATATTTTTTTTTTACCATATCTGGCTGCAAATAACAGTGTGAGATAAGTTTTTAGTCGAAGAAAAACGATTTATTTATTCTTACTTGATTGATCATATAAATAATTTTTGTTAATATTTGAATACATTTTCGTGCATTTACAGGAGTTTCATTAAATGTACGAGCCTATTTTAAATAGATTATTTAAATTCAAAAAAAACCAAACTAAGTTTGATATTATACTTCTTGAAGAACAGATGCCCTTTCAAGATTCTTGTATGGATTTCCACTTGTCCCCGATTCTTCATCCTTTTTGTCCTGTTTTCGGAATGATGCAAGCATTGCTTTTGCTAATCACAGTTTATACAAAAAGATCTAAATAGAACTTTTTTTAGGTTAAGATCCAACCAAAGCAATTTGTTGAAATTGACAACATGGACCAATCACATTATCCAATAAAACCTTGTATTCATTTCATATTCTTTTTTGAATAATAAATTCAATTGAATTTTTCAAAAGAAGAAATTTTCATAAAAAAATTAATTTTATTTTAATAATATTTAGACATATTTAATAAATGTTGCTATAATCGATTAGATCAGCGATTAACGTTGAATATAACAATTCTTTCGTATCGTGTGAATGTAGCTTATCTCAACCGAAGGAAGAAATTTCATTTGAACAAATTTGATTGGGTATTAAAGAGAAATAAAGGGAAATTATTTTGATAAGACAAAGAAGTTTGCTTCATGAAGTTCGTTAATAGAAAAATTTTATACAAAGTTAAAAAAACTGTATTCAGACAAGTTGTAGAGCTAGAGCGACATTTTCAATTTTATGATCGCTATAACTCCATGAAAACTAACCGGTTTGCGACAAAAATTTGATCCTTTTTTCATCTCATTGAGCAGAATAACATACCAAAAAATCAAGCAAAAATCTTTCTCCGTTCGAGAGAAAATTCAGTTTTACTAACAAAGTGTAGAACGACGTTAAAAACATCGAAATTTCATTTAAACAAATTGTATTTCAACAAACTTCATTGAGTATCAAGTGAAGTGCTAAGGGAAAATAATTTTACTAGCAAAGTATTTATGGGAGTAGTTTATACACTAAGTTTATTGGAAAAATGGATGTAGCATATAGAAATTGGCTGTAATATCGTGAATCTCCACCACAGCACAGAGAAGTGTTGGAAAAATATTATTTTTATACATATTGGACATAGCTCTATTAAATACGACACTCAACTTTCCTTTATCATTAAATTTATTTTTTTCGATTTTTTTCCCCAAACGGTACAATTGGCGCGCTCTTCACTCATATATATATATGTATACGTGTATATATCTAAGGAAGGTGGTACTAGTTTCGATGTAGACAATTGTGTAAATAGGTATATGATGATAAATATTAAAACTTAGTTATTTCAAGGATTAAGAATAAAATACAAAGATGAATGAAGAATTCAAATATGTGATTCTTCATAGATATTTTTTATTATATGAATACTGAAAAAAACAACGAAGGAAAAAGCGAAGTTTATTAATAATATTTATCGAAATCAGTAAAAAGTAACTCTTCTTCTAAGATTGACACTAGTCATAAAAGAAGATATAACTACAATCATGTGTCTATGTATAGGACTAACTATTTTACCCTCTACATGCACAATCATGAAAAAAATATCTGTATCAATTTTAGAGTTTGTTTCGGTCAATCTTAATATACATATCAAATAGCAGCTAGAAAAATCTCATATTAATAAAATCTTTTTTTAATGCAATCAAACTTTCTTTCAGATGATCACGTTTTTAGACGTTGTTTACTAGGATAATCGACTAGTTTCATGTTTAGCAATATAGATAGAAATAATTTTTCAAATATTTAACAAAAAAAGCCTATTGAACTATTGGTATATGAATAGTTCGATCAACGTTTTCGATGATAATCGCTCGAGAAACATTATCATCCTTTCATAAAACCATTGAAACTATGCAGTTTATCTCTCATATAGAGACTATAACCATTAGTGATTATTATTTTACATATATGTACAAGAGATCAATAAATGGTTTTGTTCATGATACTGATTCTGAAGTAGTT